ATAAGAGTTCTCATGTTTCAAAAACGAGAGCCGAAATCATCTAAATAATTATTAAAATTAAGTTGGATTGTAGTGTTTAGTCCTGTTTAATCTTCAAACGGAATTTTAGAAAAAAATAAAAAAACTTTTGTTTTTCTAAAATTTCGCTTGAAGATGAAACGGGACTAAACACCACAATCCAACTTAATTTTAATAATTATTTAGATGATTTCGGCTCTCGTTTTTGAAACATGAGAAATCTTATGTAGCGAAGGAATCATATTTTTAAACAAAAAATATTATTATATTATATATATATATATATATATATATATAAAATATTAATGATCAGAGATGCATCAGAACAAGAAACAATAGTATTAAAAATGCTCAATTCATATGTGAAAAAACAAAAGTAAAAAAAAACATGTGAAGCTTTTAACTTAAAAATCAGTAGGTTAGTTCAATCCGCTACCATGGTTTCAACCTTACGTTACACTCAGGCGATTTTTAGCAAATGACCAACTAACGCCTTTTTATTTTTTGAAAAACTAAAGAATGCTACACAATAAATAAAGAAACGCACGACATTGGGTATAATATAAGAGGAGGAGGAGCAGGAGGACATGAAGAAGAAGAAGAAGAAGACGAAGAGAAGAAAAACAAGTGTGTTGTAATGTATTAATGGGGTTGTAACTACTTTTTTTATCCAGCCTCATATAAATTTAAGAAAAATTTTCTGGTATGTAAACAAGGATTTAAAACTTCAGGTTTCTGGTTTAAAAGGTTTTTTGGATCGGGAAATGTTATAATTGCTAATTTTTCCTGCTCTTCTGATTTTTTAAGTGATGGAGAGAAAAAGAAAAAGAATACAGATGAATTTGGCTAGATTGAAAAAATATTCATTTTTTCTTTCAAAAATATTTTTTTCAAAATATTCTTTCAAATATGTTGGAACTACCAGCATCTTTCGTTCCGTGAGCATGTGTAGACGTGACATCAACAAAGCCCAGTTTGATGAAATCCTAACGGATGAAACGCGTCACAAACTTTTTTCCAATTTGTCATACTATATATATATATATATATATATATATATATATATATATATATATTGGGAAAAATAAGTGAAATTACTTGTGTGGGGTTGCTGTCAGACTTGGGAGGCGGAGTGTTTGCCATGGCTTGTTTTTCAAAGCGAGGCCGCTCCGAGCACTGGTTTTTGTAATATTTTGTGAAGGGCAGGATGCGCAGGTCTACCACCTTGTTCCTTAAGGCCTGCCTTCCCTCCATTTTCTTTTTTTTTGTGGGAGGGATCTTATGTGAACAGAGTTGTTCCGTGGGTTCTCTTCTCAGATTATTAATTGAAACTGACTGAATTTTGGGTCGCAAGTCTAGGCTGTGTTTCGCAACACTTACTGTACCGGACAGGCTTCTGATTTCCCCTTCAAGTTGAAATGAGGTTAACAGTTTTAATTTTTTCATAGTAGATAATTAATTTAATTTTCTTGTTTTTGTTGACTGCAGGTGCATATTTCTTTCTAATGTTCTAAGTGAAGATTCATTTTGCTTATAGTTACCAGGCATTTGATTTTTTATAGAAAATGTTTTTTTTTCTGTATATTCAGTGTTGCTATTGGTTACTTTAAAAGAAAAAGTCTAATATAGTTATCTATGAGGTAATTCGGAGAACCATTATTAATTATCCTTTGTTTCACGTTGTTAAGTTATTTAAAGAAAAGCGGACATGAGAACGAACACCTATTATATATCTGAGTGGACATTGACTAGTAAAATTAAGGTGATAAGAGTTTTTACCTGTGTTTTTTTATATAACGAAGTAGTGAATGTATTGTTACTAGACTCCACAATAAAGTCCAAGAATGGTAGTTTATTTTTTTATGTCTAAGTTCTTACATAAAGCTGAGGAAGGAATTTCTTTCGAATGTAGGTGTGAGATTATCAGTTCCGTTTTTCTTTTTAGCTAAAATAAAACTAAACTAAAAAACGATACCTAAGGTTTAAAATACATTTTAAAAATTAAGAAATTTACTTGAAGCTTTCATTTTAGTTTTAATTTCGTCAATGATTTACATTATATATTTTTAATAGGCGAAATAATTTGCTGTATTTCAAACCTATTGGAAGTATTTTTTTTCAGTAAAATTACTAAAATCGTTCATATAAAAAAATTTAACTTTCTGAAACTTTATTTCAGAAAGATTAAGTGATTTAACGTTCAATTAATCTGAATTAAAAGAAATATTACTTACCTTTAGTCTAAAATATCGATGAAAACATTTTTTTGACACGGGGTGGGTATTTTTATGACGCATCTATCGACAACTTAATGTTTGCGAGATTTATATGAGGTGGAAATAAATGTAGCAAAAATTTTTATAATCGATACAACGTAAACCCTTTTAAAAATATTTTTTATAATTAACCTGTAATCTTAAAATTTTATGTTTTAAGCATTCTAATATTTTATTGAATTTTAGGTAATTTGGCAATATAGTGGTACTTACGAAGCTGCTCTTTGAAGAAATCTTAGAAAATTAACAATAAATTTGAAATTTACTATAGTTACTGCACTTTTTCTGATATCTTGTATGAACACCGTATTTACAAAAATCGGCACGTTTACACACACGCACACACACACACAAACAAATTTAATCTTCTTTTTAAAATACTGGGGGTCGCTGAAATGTAGTAAGTTTTTCTATTTATAATTAATAAATATAGTTTTTATTTAATAACAATATCATTTGGCCACTAAAAATATTTAGAACCTAATAAATTATTCTAATTAAAATAAAAAATTACAAACAATTCTTGTAAAAATTTATTATTCATAGAATTTTTTCTGAAGACGATACTGTCCATAATATATTTTATTCATGAAAGCAATTAAAAGCTTTTCTAATTAAATAATTAAAATGTCTTAGTTTTAATGCATTTTTTTTATTTTACGATTCAGAGCAGATTTTTTGTAATTGAAGATTCTGTCTGACCAAAAAATAATTTCATGATTTAAATTTACTTAGGACTTGTCCTTATGACTGATATAAAGAATAGGCGCTACAAAAAAGAATTTCTCAAAATTCATAAAATGTAATAAGATTGAGGTTACAAATGTAAAAAGTAAGTAGTGGATAGCACTTTTTCTGGCAGACAACAAAGTAGATCTCAAACGTTGAACGAGTATCTGGAGCCTTTAGGGAGCTGGATAAGATGTGTAATATGACGACGACGTTCGTACCTAAGATTACTGGATCGTTGAAAACTGTTCCGAAGGGCCTACGGAAAAAGCTAGAGGAACGGGAAATCAGAAGAAGAGTCGAGGCCTTTCAGAAGACAGTCATTTCGCAAACAGCTCGAATACGAAGAACAGTGCCGGAGTATTAAGGTAAGCCTTGCTTGGGGTGAACTCGATTAAAAAAAAAATGAAGCAACTAGTTAAGTTACTATCCATGTGAATACTCAATGACTGAATATAATAATTGTCCTTATCATGACTGTAGTGTTTGAAATCGTTCCGAACGGTCCAAGCAAAAGAGTTTGAAAAATAAACAATTTAGACAACAAACAGAAACCGACATTAATAATGTGGATCGTCTCTATCATTTTGTCCTCAGCGAGCATTCGTCATTATTCATCATCATCATCATCATTTTTTCACCATCATAATCATCGTCATCACCATCAACAACAACTGTTCCTGGGCCGGGTATGGTCGTAAGATCTCTGAGCAGCCAAGCACCTGACCTTCTCCCTTCAAATATCTCGGTTGCGTACCAATGTATGAGTCTCTGTGAATGATCTTCCATTCTACTCAATGGCATTTCCAACCCCCCCTCTAAAAGCCTCTTATTTTACCTAATGATGTACCTAGTAGGATAGTTGTAGAAAGATTGTTGGTTCTTATGATGTGGCCATGCAATTTCAACTTCCTCTTCTTTGCGCTGGTAATGAGGGTCTATTAACGGGCCTCTTACTTGTCTGATAGTTTCCCCACGATGTGTCATTTGTGATGTGGCATACGCAGTAGACGCCTAGGATGGTTCTCTAAGTTTTTCATTTTTATTGAATAAGCTACCAGGTACTATTTTAGTAAAACTTAATGAGTACAAAGTACTAATACTGCTCATGATAATCACCGGGAAAAGAAGAACTAAGAGAAGTTTTCAAAGACAATACAAAGGCGAGAAGAGAAACATGAGGAGAAAACCTGCTCAGAGAGAGGAAGATTTCAAATGCAAACGGAAAAATCGACGTAAAAGATGACATAGGAAAAAACTTAATATTTTTTAAATATATATATATATATATATATATATATATATATTGCATTATATATATATATATATATATATATATATATATATATATATATATATATATATATATATATATATATATATGTGTATGTATGCCAAAAAAAAAAAAAAAAAAGCAAAGAACTAAAAAGCATATTTCTGATGTCATGGCATTTCTTGTGACACAGCACGACAAACATTTTATATTGTTTGCAAGAATCCATATTGAAAGAAATAAAAAGAAAAGAAAAAAAAAACGAAAAATGTCATTTTCTACTTTTTTCTCCCACGTTGTGCGTGGTTTGTTCCATTAGCTTGAACTTCTTTCAAAAGACTCAACATGGACGCAATAGTATTGATTGGAAACATATTTCTAAGATGTGTAAAAGGAAAAAAACGGGACAAAAACGGCGAAAACAATCCTTAAAAAAAAACGATTTTTTCACAGTCTAATGATGAAACAAACACCCAAACTGTACATATATTGCGAATATTATATGGATCAAGTTAAATGAAAATGACGTTTCAATCTCTCTATCTATATACACAAGAGGCACTCCAAAAATATTGCCTTCCATTTATCCCCACTGAAATTACAGCAGATGCAGGGAGCATAATAACACCGTTGTCGAAAGAGCAAGTATTCTACTACAAAACAGATTTTTCTTTATAACCTCATTGTTACTGAATTTGTAATTAATGAGAGAATTTCTTTCTTTCTTTCTTTCTTTCTTTCTTTCTTTCTTTCTTTCTTTCTTTCTTTTTCTACTTATCATGGAAACCCGTCTATATTTCTCTCTCGCAGCACACCCACAGTTACAATTTCATCTTTTGTTTTCTGAATTTGTTAGTATTTAAATATGCAATAGAATCTTTCTTTCTCTCTCTCACTCCCTCTCTTTCTATCGCTTTATCTATCGCTCTCTGTCTCTCTATTTCGCTCTAAAAAAGCATTACACTCCATTAATCTATATATACAAGGGGAGGTTCGAATATAATCCCCCGCTTTTATTTCCAACGAAATTACAATTTCACATTTCTTCCTGATCTTTTGAACAAGAATAGAGGTTTACCTTTTATTCCTTGCTTAGAATTGGTTTTCCTGTTTCATCTAAAATCTACTTCAACCCTATATTTCTAACGCCTAAATTTTACTTATGAATTTATTCATTTTTCCTCAATATGAGTAGATAGATTCGCCTAGCATTCGGTTCATACTCCTGACAATAGAGATTTATACCGTGTTTTCTTTTTAGGATTGGGTTTCCTATTCCTTCTAAAGTCTTTTGCACTCTCTTTCATTTCTTTTAGCCCCTTGCATATTAGTGGCATTATCGCCTTGCTCGGTTGTGGGTGGTGGTGATAAAAATACAAGGGGTGGAGTAACACCTATGGGGAGAGGGCAAATACCCTGCTAGAACACTCTTTTTCTACATTGATCCCCCTCATAACGGTGGAACATGGCTGATAGGGTGAGTTTTGGGACATGGTTAGTACTGCTGAAGCGCATTACCCCCGTCTAACTCTTCTCTCATTCACTGTTGAGTATCAAAGAACATCCAGAAAACGTCGATGAAAATCAATGATTTTATTATTTTATTTTATTTGGGGGGCGGTATAGAGGAATTCATTTTCACACTTCTGGTTCGCACTCACTTTATTTCCAGACACCAATTTGTCAGATTGCCACTCACATGTTATTTCTAATAGAAACAAAAATTAAGGGTTATTGGCTATATTACTTTTGGAGTGAATCCTCCACACACACACACACACACACACACACACACACACACACACACACACACACACACACATTATTAGTGGTCAATATATATATATATATATATATATATTTATTTATTTTTTTATACTAAAGAAAAATGTGCCCCCCGACAGGAATCTGACCTGTATCCCCTCCTTACATGATGCAAATCATTCTTATAGTAGAGGCCATCTATATCTATCATTCAGATTTCTTCAAATCAATATTTGCTTCAATTTTAAAATAGATTTTTTTTTTAATACGGTTTTGTTTTTTTTAATACAAGAAACAGCACTTTTTGTGGGTAGACATATTTCAGTTGACATCCCTATTTACTTTTATTTTCTTAAACATCAACCGGCCTAGATCAAGAAGCAAAGATGAATGTGCATTCAGCTAGGCCGCGAATCCGTAACTCATTTTTTGTCACCAGAGAAACCACTACCATAGCCGAAGCGTTACATTACGAATTTGGCCATGGGAAGCCTTCATGATAAAGATGGTACTCATATATTTGGATAAAGGAATTTTGCAAATTTTATACACACCCTTTTGAAACATTAATCTTCATAAGATCACTGCATACATACTGAAGGTGAGTGCATATTATATATATATATATATATATATATATATATATATATGTGTGTGTGTGTGTTCGCGTTCAAATCCCTTCTGATTTTGGGTAGATTCTTGTGTATTCGTGTCTGTGTGCGCGTGTGTATATGTATATCTATTTGGTCTATCTTTGTGTTTTGTCTGATATCTATCTATCTATCTATCTATCTATCTATCTATCTATCTATCTATCTATCTATTTCCGTCTGCTAATCTATCTATCTATCTATCTATCTATCTATTTCCGTCTGCTAATCTATCTATCTATCTATCTATCTATCTATTTCAGTCTGCTAATCTATCTATCTATCTATCTATCTAAAATATCAACTCTCTTCACGAATTCGTATTTTGGCTATACAACATCGTAGAACCAGCTGGTATATTTAAATAATTAGCAAGTCATGGGACTCGGAACCAGACTACAATGAGGTTTTAGTTCTTAGTTCAGATCCCTTTGGTAACCAATTATATTTCTGTTGCTAAATGTATTTGCCCTCAACCAACCTTTATATATCCCATTGCCTCTTATCATTTTCGAGGGCACTCACCTTTCAATTCTCCATTAATTGACTTGAAGAAGCAATATTTCGCATATAAAACAAATCACAATTTACAAATCACAAATCTGATCGCAAAGAGAATTAAAAAATCCCCAGGATTCATTATAACTTAATTTGTTCGTATCTAATTAATTGACATGAGAATTTTTCTTTCTTTCTTTCTTTCTTTCTTTCTTTCTTTCTTTCTTTCTTTCTTTCTTTCTTTCACCCATCCCTTCCTTCCTTCCTTCTTTCTTTCTTTCTTTCTTTCTTTCTTTCTTTCTTTCTTTCTTTCTACATATCACTGATTGCACATCTGCATTTCTCCCTAACAGAATACACATTGTTTTAACTTGCTCTTTTGTTTTCAGAAATTTTCAGTATTTAAATATTAAGCAGAATATAGAATCTCTGTCCCTTTCGTTTTCTCTCTCTCTCTACACACATATTCTATCTATCTATCTATCTATCTATCTATCTATCTATCTATCTATCTATCTATCTATCTATCTATCTGTCAAACATGGTTTAATCTGTCACTCATCTGATCCTAGAATCTTTGCAAAACTGACAGAGGTCGACAGTATTGGTACCAGTTGAACTAAATAGAGAATTGCAGATCTTCCATCTCTTCCTTCTCTTCCCACATCTTGAATAAATAAAATAGTACGCGCATGAGCGTGCGCGCACGCACACACAGACACACACACGCACACAGACACACACATATACATATATATGCAAACGAACTCGGATAAACATTTAATGGAAATGCATGCATGTAGGAATACGCAAATGAAAATAGACGCACACGCAGATACAAATACACGTACACAGGCGCCTGCGGACAACACTAGAAAAGAAATATAGTTAAATAATAATAGAAATAATAAAAAAATACAAGTTGAAACTTCATGTAAATCAGACAAACCTATTTACAATGACAGCGAAGGAAAATCCATATGGCCTTAACCCCATCACTGCTTTCTTATCTCATCATACAACGTATTTCGACCCATGCCTGCCTGCATTTTATTCTTTCTTTCTTTCTTTCTTTCTTTCTTTCTTTCTTTCTTTCTTTCTTTCTTTCTCTTTCCGGTCTCTATCTTTCTATTCATCGTCTTCGTAAGGCAACACAGTGTAGCAATGATCTTCCCAATCCAATTCAAAAGCCGTTTTGAATAAAACGTCGAAAGATTATGCCGTAAACAGCTCTTTGCTTTGGCCCCTTGTGACTTTGTCTCTAATAGGATTAGATCAGGATGAGTTTTTTTTTTGTAGCAACCTTTGCGTTATCTGAAACGATTGCCAGAGACCTTTGAGATCGCGTTTGGCTTAGACAAAAGGCAACGTCCAAGACTTAATAATCTTTCTTTGCGTGGTTCTACGGCTAAGCTTCTTTGAATTCTTTCCAACTCGGGCGAAAGTCGGGGACCATCCAAGAGAAGAACGACAACCGTATCTAAACAGTCGAAAGATATTAGGGAGCCCTGTTCCCTTAACTTGTTCCTCTCAGCAGTTCCACAGATCACTTGCCATCCATTGTGCCGAACGTAAGTTTTTCTCCGCATAATTCCCTTAAATGCTTGTGTCTATATTAACTAGACGCACGCATATGCAAACCTGCAGCAGGATTGGTGGGTGTTCTTTCTGTTCTTGTAAGATTTTGCTGCACATTTTTTTCCTCGTATTTTAATGTCATCACGTAATAAAACACTTTCACTTAAACGCAGCAAGGTCATGATACATATATACATATATTTATCCTTATTTTTATGCGTATTTATGCATATATTCTTGCTTGAACTTACACATCTATCTATCTATCTATCTATCTATCTTAGACTAATACAGGGTAATTACATGATAATATAAAAGAATAAATTCTACGTTACACGTTTCATTCCTAGACCGAATAAGGTGGACTAGTATAAGAATCTAGATAAACTGGATGTCAAAAATTTAAAAGAAATTCTAAGTTTAGCGCCCATGTATCTTTTAGCATTTTCGATTTAAGATTGTGACTAAACTTTCTTAAATTATATATATATATATATATATATATATATATATATATATATATATATATATATATATTGTTAATAATAATATTCTATGTATATAATATTTTCAGGCTCAAATTTCTTCTGCCTTTTGGTAAATTATTGTGTGTATATATGTGTGTATATCTCATCCTTTAACATCAATGCACAGAAGATTATTCGTGAGTATGAACGGATTTTATTAAAAATTAGCAAATATAATGTCTGTAATTTAATCAATCATATATATATATATATATATATATATATATATATATATATATATATATATATATATACAAGCATAGTTTAAATGTGTCACAATGCCGAAATTATGGGGCACCCACTGAGTACTGAGGTCACTTCTCAGTCGTAATTTTTATAGGAAGACAAACTTGCTAACCATTACACCGCCTGGATGTGCCATATATATATATATATATATATATATATATATATATATATATGGAATTAACCATTAAAATAAATTAACCATGAAAATAAAACCATTATTAATCTGAAGAGGTCATATCTAGAGTCGAAACAATGTTGTCTTTTTTGTTATCCAGTATCGTTATTCAAAATCGTCGAAGTGAAGTAAAATACGATTTCATGTTTTTGGAAGAATTTTATGCTTACTACACACCACACACGCATACATATATACATCCATCCATTCATACATACATATATATAAATATATATATGTGTGTGTGTGCGTGCGTGTGTGTCTGAGTGTGATGGAGATCTATTTTTTAAACTAGCATGACCATCGCTGCCATTTTAACGTAATTTTTTATTGTCGGTCATAAAACCGACTGTAACTTTTGAAACCATCAAGTAACGTACATACTTTTCCTCTAGCATAGCATAGCAAACAAGATCTTCGGGCTATGTTGTTTCTTTGTGGTCTTCGTCAGGATCAGGGGCCCGGTGCACCTTCAGGTGCCTTGTTAGATCAACTTTTGCAGACTTTCTCGCACTCCCCACCTGTTAGGTTAGATAATTGATGTCAAGGAATGCCTCCATGCTTGATTGTATATTTATGAATACTTACATTTCTTATTTTAGAATCTATAAAAATATTGATTTCTATATCTGATCATTTTGTGTAATCCATCTATACTTCCTGTACGCTTAATCCTGTGTATACGGAAAAACCTGTTCAATTTAATGCATTTCTATTTGCCATCAGTGTATCACTACGTATGCATATCTTAATTAAACAGACGCATACGTACCTTCATTCCCACTCAATATGACATACACACACCAAATGCGAAAATATAAATCATAAATTGCGAAGACTGAATGCAGCGAGAGAAAAGAAACTAACGCAATTGAAGCCCTGATTTCATGAACAAAACTAATTTGCATAACTAAGACTTTAATTGCAAATTAAAAAAGAATTATTTTTTTAGCTAATTCAAGTATTAATTAAAGATAACCAGAGGCTACTTGAAGGAATTAGCATCATATCTGCATATCACAAAAAATAAATAAAAGTAATTTAAAATGAATAACAAAAAACTAAAAAAAGGTAATAATAGAAAAATAATTTGCATGATTTAAGAACACTAAGAAAAAAAAAAAACAAACCAAAAAACGCGTTAATTTGCATATCAGATGCTAGAAAGTATTTGTCTTGCAATTAATTTAACGAATGAATGCAAGAAGTCAGTGTATATATCCCTGTATGAATTATGCAGGATTATAGCAAACACTTACGCATTTCCATCCATTCGAACGAAACATGTTCGTTTATAGATATTTATCCAGTTTAGCTTAGTCTGGCACAGATCATCTGTCTTTCTATCTGAGTCTGGCACAGATCATCTGTCTTTCTATCTGAGTCTGGCACAGATCATCTGCCTTTCTATCTGAGTCTGGCACAGATCATCTGCCTTTCTATCTGAGTCTGGCACAGATCATCTGCCTTTCTATCTGGATCTGTCCATTTCTATAGTCGTCTGATAGTTTGACAAACTATCTGGTTTTTGTTTGCTACAATGGTAGCCAAGTAGTAACATCTGAAATGCATTTTTATAACTATTATCAATTTTGCCAGGGGTTAGAATATACACTACGTCTCACATTATTAATCATTTCGAATTAATCGGTTCACGTACGATCACCGATGTTAAGCAACGTCGAGTCTAGTCAGTATCTAGATGGGTAATCGCTTGGGAATACCAGGTGCTGTAAGCTTGGATGTGCGGGAGGTGTAATGAATAACGGCTCGGAATTGGACATCAAAGAACCGAGTTCCAATTCTAGTGGTGTTCGTTATGTTCCCTTATGCCCAAATACTGTTGGGAATTATATGAATCCACCTCTTCTCCCCCAGCCATGGGTTAATTAGTAGGACGTGTATCATTAAATCATTATTATCTAGAAAAATATTCCTACTATCTTAGATTATTTTCCTGGCTTTAATTAACATGCAAGGGGTTGATAATCCATAAAACAAACAAACAAACAAACAAATTAATCAAACTTTGAATATATCCTAATATTTAAAAAGTAATGTACGGATATTATCTACACTCAATTCTTATAACCCTAAATAGAGTATAATACCCTAAAAATCTAAAGCAAAATTCAGTTTATTACTGTTTTATTGGGAGACCCTCGTACATAAGTTGATCAATATTCACGTAGCTTACAGAAATAAAACAAAAACAAAAAAAATGTTCCCAAAAAATATATTCTCTTTCTTTGTCAATGTACTTAACTCAGTTATATTTTCAGATGTAAAATGTAGTTAGTCATTGTGTTAAACTATGAACTTATTGATCCGTGTTGGTATATCGATGGTTATGCTAAGAAACGCGTTCAGAACATTTCCAGCGACCTTTTGCAAAATTGCAAATGGCTGTTTACTGGGAAGAAGTTTTGCTCTTAACTGGATGTTTAAAGTTTAAAATAAGAATGAGATACAGCGACACAGTTACCATGTTCTAAAGAGAATAAGACGATAAAGGTTTGATATGTGGCTATGGAAATACCTGCATATACATACATCCATACATACATACATACATACATACATACATACATGTATGTATATATATATATATATATATATATATATATATATATATATATAAAGCCAAATGAACCGTTCTAATTCTAATATTAGAGTGTTCGAAAAGTAATTACGTATTTGACCGCTATGACTTATGAATCAACAAACCAAAGTAGAAGCAAGGCTGAATGGTGGGAAAATGCGTCTTGAGTTTGTTATTTCTTCTGTCCCAAACTGTGTTGTTTATAGTGCATTTCAGAGTTTAATACCAAAAAGTAGGAATTTGGATTTTTTTATGAGATTTCGCCTGAGAACCGAATACAACGTTTCACTCTATGAAGCAGTCTTTTCACCAGCAATGCTAATCATTTATTTTTGCCTCACATTGTTAAAGGTGATGAAAAATGGGATTTGCCCGTTCACAGAAAACGAAAATGACAGATCAGAAACCAGTGTCAAACTCCTTCTTTTCTTTCTCCATGTATAAAATATTTGCGTCGTCCATTACAAGGTACTGGAACATGGAAAGATCATTACAGCAGACATTTATTGCAAACGACTTGATCGAATAAATTAAACATTTCATCGAAGCTATTCCTTGTAAAACCATTTTCTATCATGATAATGCAGGAGCACAGTATGGAAAACAAACCCAAGAAAAAATAAGATTGTTAAGACAGGAAGTTCCTCCATATCAATGATATGATCGATCAAACTTGATTTCGGGGAAAACTTTGAAAGCCGAATCGAGCATCTGCCTTCTCGTTGGAATTTTTGATAAATAATATTTAAACAAATTTAACATTAAATTTGTTTTATATCTTTTCTGGTAGGACGTAATTACTTTTCGAACATACAATATATTTTTATTCAGTTTACCTCAAGCAAAGCAATAAAGCCACTATGACGCAAGTGTTTACGAAGTGTTAGAGAATATGAGAATAAAAAACACTATTAAGGAATGAGAACAATAAAAGAACAAGAATAAGGAAGAGAGATAACAACTGACATTGTATTTAAATTTTTGAAGATCAAAATTGACTGGGAATCAAATAGACGGAAGAGAGTTCCACAGGCGAGAGAAGAAACTGTTAGCATAGAACTTCTAGTTACGTCTAGCCGTTTCAACTGCTAAATAATGTGACCTAGCTATCAATCTAGTATTGCGCTTAATTCATAAAGTCTACGTATCACAGAGAAACGTATCAGAACAATTACCATGAAAGTATTTATAGAAAACGCACAAAGAAGCTATGTTACGACGCGGGGGAAGTGAATGAAGCCGAGATGCCAGATCAGGATTAATAACATTGCAGATTCTTAGTTTTGATAAAATAAAATTTCCCAGGCCATTAGTAGTAATAATTTCTAGTATGGTTTATACTGCATAAAGATTTAATAAGTTAATCTTAGTTTAACCTAGTAAGGTTGATGTTGAAGATCGAAATTACTACGTTTGGTGTACAGTTTTGGCGACAAGCGTACTTACCGTTGCTTACGACAGATGCTCTGAGTTATTTAAAGCTAGTCTTTTTCTATGTTAACTTTACTCCTTACACATATTTTTCCTTTATTTACCCTCCCACATAATGCGTGATAGCAAGCATATTATCTTTTTCTCATCTGTCTCTCATTGCGACGGCGTAGTGATGAAACCAAATACCTTTTGTTTTGAGATTTTCAAAAACGTTAATGGCGTTGGAACATACCATCGTTGCGTTCTAGATTATGCATCTTTGCAGGGACTCCGACTCTTGTTCTCTCGGCTGAGCCTAAATGCGACACTCCCCACACACAGTGTCTATCCCCAGGGATCATTCTCGGTTCTTCAATGACAAAGACCAATCCAAATTGTTCGCAAAGAAATCATTCTTTGGGAGAGAAAAGCGACAATCCTCTAGGCGAGCATGGGAGCCAGTTTGTGCTCGCAGCTCCCCTTGAGAGGTTCCCTTGCCTGGCTTCCAGCTGACATGTACGAGACTGCTTTCGCTTCTGACGTATAATACAATTACTTAGCATTGTCAGCGCAACAGAACAATTTTACAATGCCAGACAGCGCAACGCAAGTGCGCCGACTGCTTGTTTGTTTAGTCGATACGAATTTTCATTACTGCTTTCTTTACCTCTTTCATTTCTAATTTCGTTTTACGTTCTACTTCGAAGGCATTTTTATTCCCATTTTTTTCTTTTGCAGATTACTGCTTTATCTCTGGAATATCTTTCAGATTTTTTTTTTTTACTTATATTTGGGATTTAAATTTCTTTCTTGAAATTTTTTTTAATTTTTCTTTCTTTGTTTCTTTTTATTTCTTTCTTTTTTCAGTTCGGTAATTTTATTTCTTTCGTTCTTTCACTCTGTCTTTCATTTTTTCTTTCAGTTTTTATAAGTTTTCTCTCTTTTTTTTCTTCCTTTCTTTCAGTTTTTGTAATACTTCTTTCTTTCGTTCGTTCCTTCTTTGTTTCTTTTAGTTTTTCATTTTCTTTCTTTTTTCAGTTTTGCAATTTTTCTTTCTTTCTGTTTTTGCAATTTTTCTTTCGTTTCTTTCTTTTCATTTTTCTTTCTTTCTTTCTCACAGTTTTTGTAATTTTTCTTTTTTTCTTGTCTTTCTTTCGTATTTTCAGTTTGAGGAATTTTTCTTTTTTTTTATTAGTTTCTTTAACGATTCTTTCTTCTCGTCATTATTTTTCTTAGTTTTAGGTTTGATAATTTCTTCTATACTGTCTTTTGTTCTTTTCATACATTCAATTTTGGTAATTCTTTCTTTCTTTCTTTCTTTCTTTCTAATTTTAGATAATTTCCCTCTTAGAGCTTCAGAAACGTTTTCAACAAAGAGATAGAAACTCTTTAATCGAGAAACCTACACTTTTGTTAATGTTAGACGAGTGTTGCACTCATCGATTGATTATTTCAATATTCGCATCAATAAAATGTCGATTTTTTTGTTTAGTTCCTTTGATCGGAGAAGTGAGACATAACAATCAATTTTTCTCTCTTTGTTTTTCGACTTTGTTGTTTCAAGATTTTTGTCAATAACATTAATCACAAGTTCAACAAAACGCTCTCATTATATATATATATATATATATATATATATATATATATATATGTATATATATATGGGAGAGAAGCAAGCGCGATATATATATATATATATATATATATATATATATATAGAGAGAGAGAGAGAGAAAGAGAGAGAGAGAAATAGAGAGAGATTGTGTAAACATAGAAAACATTCCAATATGGTGACTGGGAGCTTTCTATCTATATTTACAAGCGCTCTACCTCCGATTCTGAGGACACTTTACCCATAAATATATCAAATGCATATATATATATATATATATATATATATATATATTGTTACTCTCATATATATATATATATATATATATATATATATATATATATATATGTTAATCTCATATATATATATATATATATATATATATATATATATATGAAGTAATACCATCGATAAAACCATTATTATTCTGAAGAGGTCCTATCTAGAGTCGAAACACTCAATCTTTTATTTTAACATTTGTCATTCAGTATCGTTGTTTTAAAAACGTCAATGCGAAGTAATACTAGATTTCATGTTTTGGAAGGATTTTATATTTACTACACATACACACGCACACATACACACACACACATATATGTTGGCATGTGTGTGTGTGTGTGTGTGTGTGTGTGTGTGTGTGTTTGGTTTATTCTTTAAACGTGCAGGATCATCGTTGACATATATGAAATTAAGATACTATCCAGAATTCCTTCTATCGAAGGATGGGATTCTACAAGAATAGCTAAAGACGTTTTATTATTTAGCTTTAAGTAGAAGTTCTTTTTACGAATTATATGTAAGAACGAAAGTGAATAGAAAAATAGAGTCATAAAAATAATTTCTAGTGCCTGCTGTAGTGCAATGGTTATCGAACCTTTTTTATTAGTGTTGTAAATTTGATCTTCACTTGCTTCACACTACTGAAGCATTGTACGAATAAGAACCATGTTTGTTGACTATTTCCTTGGGTGCCTATCATAGCATGCATACGAGTAAGCACCTTTGAATTAGTGATTTGAATTTGTTGCTTGCAGGGCGCCTCACCACTATGACTCAATTATGTGAACCTCTATAAAATGTAAATATGGTATCACGTAAACGTTATTATTATGAAAAAATAATATATCTTAAAATAAACATGGTTATTGTAATCTTATGTAAATTATAACTGAATTTATCCTTTTACTTAGTAATGTTGCAGTTTTTTGGGTATGTAAGTACTAGTGAGCCAGTCAAAGGAGCTGACTCATTTTATAGTTCACCAATAGAAGGGTTAACCAATCAGAAAGCTCAAAATATTCAATCCGACGTGTATAAAGGCAGCCATTTTGTTTTTTTTTTCTCCCAAAATATCTCCATTGCCAACCTGATATCGAAGACTTAAAGAATTACTTAATAGCCGCTACTTTCTCTGAATCTTCACTGCCAACCTCTGATATTGAACACATTACGGACTTCACTGGATTCCATATTCAGAGACTACCGCAAACATGGTCAACAAGTAAATCATCATGTTAACATCCATCGTCTTTAATAATATTTCTTGGATCAGTTGGACCTACTAGGCGGAGCCCATCTTCTTTCAAAGTAACATTAGACAATTTGCCGTTAGAAAATTATTGAACATTAATCTTTATTCAGAAAGGGAAACACAATTAATTAATATAATAATATTAAATATAAGAGAATCTTGAACGCCATTTTAAGTTATAATTTTTTTATATAATTATAGAAAATACTGTTATTGCGAAGAAAAAGGGTGTCGAGTGTAGTCGGAATCATTGGGTCAATTCGAGCGATCCTTTCCTTAGCTGTCGCCAGGGCTACAGAATTTTCCTTTTCCTAGACCGGTTGCCACTTAAAGCTACAGAATCTAGCCTGTCCAACTATTTACCATAGCTAGGAAGAGAAGTATTGGATTCTAATTAGCACTTAGGTTCTAGTACCTTCCCCAAAGATATTAGCACCTAAGTGAATGCAATAAACTCGATTAGAATTCGAACTCCGCTCTCCGATTTTTCAATCGGAGCAGCAATCCATTATTCTACCGGACCTCCTTAATTTTTAATTTAGACATTCTTCAGGTGGTTGGAATTTCGAACTGAACCCTTTATTTCGATCACAAAGAGTGTGAGTTCAATACCCGGTTAAGGCAGTGGAGAACTTTCAGATGGAAAATTAGCAGGAGATAACTGATAACTGACATCCATCAAACATGGTACGTGGAACTAGAACAGTCTACCCCAGTGATCAAAATAAAGGGTTCAGTTCGAAATTCCAACCACCTGAAGAAGGCCGGAGCGTACAACGACCGAAACGTTGTGACAAATATGGCGACAAAGATGAGGACAATAGTCCGACTAATGTAAATACTGTACATAATATCTCATCTCAGAAATATAGACAGACTCTCCTATCTATCATCCATTTAATCAAACTTTGGCTATGCGTTGTTTTCAGTCTGTCTTGTGAGTATATTAACTTTCCAAGCCCACTTTCCTCATTTTGTGCCCTAGAAAGTTCAACTGTATCTTTCTGGTGTTATTTATAAGTGTCCTTTTAGTTTTTATTTTATCTAAAGCTCTGTCGTTGCTCACATGTTCGGTTCATGGTATTCTCAGTATCCTTCTGTAGAACTAAATTTCTGTTGTTTCAAGTCTCTCGTTCATCTATGAGGAGAGCATTTTATGAAGAGTTTTTGTTATTGTGGTATTGATGTATCTGTGTAAAGTGGTATTATGGTGCTAGGAATATTAGTTTAATTGGGTCAGTGAATGCGACTAGATAAATAAAGTAATGATCAGCTTTCCCCGTTGGCAATGTTACCGGCTTTTTACCGGCAATTTACCGGCAATTTTGCCGGCTTTTTACCGGCAAGTTTGCCGACTTTGTACCACATTTCGTGTATTTTCCAGAAGTAAATATTCATTTCTCAAGATTGAAACCAATCTGCGTAATGTTAGATATGAATATTTAGCACGCTTAGGCGATCATGTATCTTTCGATACATGACTGACGAGGCAGATCTTTTCCCGCAGCAGGTTGCCATGTCTTTCTGCGGTAGACCAGTTGCCATCCAAAGCTATAGAACCCGGTCTGTCCTGCTATTTACCCATAGCTAAGGGGAGAAGAAGAGAATTCATATCTTTCCCAAGAGTATTAGCACGTAAGTGAATGTAATGGATTCGACTGGAATTCGAACTCGGCTCTCCGATTCCTCAATTCTAGCCACTAACCATTACTCCACCGTATTTAAAATCAATATTTGGTGTGATTCCTTTTATTGTTTTTTGTCTGAATCTTATCACTGGAATGTTTTTCCCACATCGACAGTATGCAGTCTTTTAATTCTCACTAGTTTCATAGTTGTCTAATTCCTTTTTAAATATACAGTGTCCCCACAAAAAATGACATAATTTAAAATGTGAATATTTGAGTAAACGAAATTAAATAGGCTTCAAATTTATTGATCAAGATTTGAACAAGATATTCAAAGGATGTAGACTTTATAACTAATTTCACAAAGCTGCACAAACGTTCAACATGCACACCACCTGTGGCACCACACAAGTCGGTTGTCCAGTTCCTGCCAAACACGCTTGCGTAACATTTTCCAGTGCCTCAATGATTCTCTGCTCAAGTTTCTCTAGGCTTGCTGGAAGAGAGGGATATGGACCTGTCCTTTCACATTGGCTCATAGAAAAAAAATCACAAGGCGAACTTGGTGGCCACTTCAACAACACAATGCCATTATCACTGGCACGCCCGATCTCAATTGAGATAAATCCGCACAGTTAACTTAGTTTTTACATATTTTGTTAAAATATTAGATCCTGTGAGTGAGAATAGTTCTATGTTATTAGATTACTAAATGATGTCGATTTTTTGTGGACAGCCTGTA